AAGCGTCCAAGGAATTGGTGGAAACGTACAAAGGATTAAATCTTAAGTTATGGTTACAGCCAACTCCCGTCTAAATGACTATTCAGTAACATTCTCATGTTTAGTAGTTAAGAGAATTACGCGTAACCTACCAGGCATCCGACTAAATGATAGCTGCGTGGTGCCGAAAGCTATAGTCTTAGCGGATACGAGTTTCACCGTGCCACAGAAAATTGACCTATTAATAGGAGCGACCCGCTCCTATTAATTAAGTGACCCACTTCTATGATTTAATGTGTGCTGGGAAAATAAAGCCACGGCCAGGCGGTCCTGTATTTCAGGAAACAAAGTTCGGATGGGTGGTTGCTGGTTCATCGGAATATCAGCTCAATAGTATGAGTCAACAAACGGCGGTTTTCCTCACGGTGAATGGCAATTTTAAACAATCACTAGAAAATATACTGGCCAAGTTTTGGCGCTTGGACGAGTACACAGGAAAAGATGCGTGGACGTTAAAAGAAAAAACGTGCAAGAAATATTTTGATCGAACAGTTCAGCGCGATGTACATGGAAGATTCGTGGTACAATGGCCATTCAGAAGTAACGTAAGGCAATTGAGTAAATCATATGAAACGGTAAAAAGGTGATTTTTATCGTTGGAGAGTCGTCTGCAAGCAAATGCCGATATACGAGCAGAGTATTCAAAATTTATGAACGAGTACGAAAAACTAGGACACATGGAACTTGTGACTGATGAGGAGTCAAAAAAAAAGGAGACTGATTGTTATTATTAACCTCATCATGCTGTCATAAATAATAATAGCACAACCACGAAGCTTCGAGTCGTTTTTGATGCGTCATGTAAAACCGACTCGGGTATTAGCATGAATGACGTGTTATTAAAAGGGCCTGTTATACAGGACGATCTGCTATACATCCTGACTCGATTTCGCATGTGTAAATATGTACTAACGGCAGATATCGAAAAAATGTATCGACATATAATGGTAGACGAGAGCCATCATGATTATCAGAGAATTTTCTGGCGTGATAATCCAAATGGGCCATTGAAAGTCTACCGCCTACGTACTGTGACGTACGGTACAATAAGCGCAAGTTATTTGTCAACAGCTTGCCTAGAAAAGTTAGCTGAATGTGAATTCAGTAGGTATCCTGACGCGTGTCAATCATTAGTTAACGATTTTTATGTGGATGATTGGTTAGGCGGTGCAATGAAACGGGCAGAGGCAATAAAATTACGAGACAATATTATTGCCGTAATGAAAGGTGCCGGTCTACATTTACGGAAATGGGCATCGAATGATAATAGTTTAATAGGTAGTTTATTGCCTGCTGAACACAATAAAGATAGTGACGGTCCGCGTATTATCGATAACGACACGACGAAAATATTAGGCCTGTGTTGGGATCCGCCATCGGATTCATTTAAATATACATTAAGTGAAAACATAATAAATAATAACGATATAACAAAGCGAACAATTTTATCGAATATAGCCACAATTTTTGATCCCCTTGGTTTGCTCGGGCCGGTGTTAGTTATTGCAAAAATTATCATGCAACGTTTGTGGTGCATTCAACTCAGTTGGGACGAACCCGTTTCGGCGGAAGTCGCTGTAGAATGGCGTAATTATAGTGCACAATTAACATCATTGAATAAGTTCAGTATTCCAAGATATACACTATGTGAAAATAAAATCGTCAAATTACAGTTACACGGTGTTGCCGATTCATCTATCAGAGCATATGGTGCATGTGTTTACATTAAAAATACGGACGAAAACGATCATCACACGGTGCGTTTACTACAAGCCAAGTCCAAGGTCGCGCCCATAAAAACAATATCGCTGCCTCGACTAGAATCGTGCGCAGCCCTATTATTAGCACGAATGATAAACGGAATAGTGCCGAAGTTGAAATTCAAATTTGAGCGACAATTTTATTGTACCGATTCGAGCGTAACCCTCGCTTGGATTTCATCTCCATCTGCTAAATGGAAAACGTTCGTGGCGCATCGTGTTGGTGAAATACAAGACAAAACGTCCCTTAATGATTGGCGTCATGTCCGCTCGGAGGACAATCCTGCTGATTTAATATCACNGTCCGCTCGGAGGACAATCCTGCTGATTTAATATCACGGGGCTGTACTTCAAACGAATTGCGAATTAACGCGATGTGGTGGAACGGCCCCCATTGGTTGAAGGAGGAGTACGAGAAATGGCCGAAGTCATGTGTACAATACAGTAATACAAATAATATACCAGAAGCCAAAAATACGGACGAAACAACAATTACGACGGTCGCATGCGTAGCATACGATAAATGTTATTCGTTGTTATCTAGAAGGTTTGGTTATTATTTATCATCAGAGTGACGGCGTATTGTCTACGCTGGCGGTATAACATGAATTGAGCATTAGGTGATAAAAATAATGGGCCGTTAACGGTAAACGAACTAGATAGATCAAATACGACAATCATCAAAATAATTCAACGCGCACATTTTCGGCAAGAATCGAAAGAGTTAAATAGTGAAAATGCGAATGTGTCAAAGAAAAGTAAACTACTGCGTCTTAGTCCATATATTGATGGAAATAATAATATTATACGTGTCGGAGGACGTTTAAAATACGCTATGGCGTTGAATGACAATCAGAGTCATCAAATTTTATTGCCGGATAACTGTCATTACACGAAATTATTATTCCGTAAAGAACACATGGATTTGATGCACAGTGGACCTCAAGCCTTGATGGCCTCTATTAGGCAGCGCTACTGGCCTTTAAAAGTGCGAAGTTTGGCTTGTGCTATAGTACAAAATTGCGTTAATTGTTTTAAACTGAATCCTCAAATAGTACAACCGATCATGGGAAGTCTATTGGTTCACGGATACAGAGTGGAAGAGCATTTGCCATATGTGGTGTAGATTTCGCGGGTCCAGTCATGATAAGAAATTGAGTGGCGATTTATACCACCCCGTGCTCCGCATTTCGGTGGGCTTTGGGAGGCGGCGGTCAAAAGTATGAAAAGTTTGTTATATTGCGTTTTGGGAGAGGCTCGGCTCACGTACGAAGAATTATTAACTGTACTAACGAAAGTCGAAGCTGTACTTAATAACTCGCGACCAATAACTCCAGTATCTTCTGATCCGGTTGATCTAACTTACCTCAAGCCAGGTCATTTTTTAATTGGCTATATAATGACTGCCATACCGGAAAAGGATGAGACGAACACGCCTATTACTCACTTAAATAGTTGGAGAATAGTTTCCCATTACACCCAAATACTTTGGAAACGAAGGCACAAAGAGTACTTATCTCAACTGCAGGAAAGAACCAAATGGTTCAGCACGAAAGGGCCTAAGTTACAAATTGGAACTATTGTGTTGATAAAAGAGACAAATATACCACCACTCAAATGGCATACTGGGCGTGTAATGAGTCTACACTGTGACGTAGCACGATCAGCCAAGGTCCAAACTAACAACGGCGTGTTTTCACGAGCGGTCAGGTTATTATGTCCGTTACTATTTGAAGGCAACAGTTTGTAGCCTGTTTATAATTTATTTAAATTTCTTAGAATTCGTAGTTATTGTAATATATATATATATATATATATATA